TTGAAGTTATTTTAAAATTTCCCCTTTGGCTTATTTCTTTGATGTATTAGCTATGTAAGTACATGTTGTTTAATTTTCACATATTTGTTTTTTTTCACTTTTTCTCCTGTTATTGATTTCTAGTTTCTTTATTTTTATTTATTTCTTGGCTGCACCATTTGCCCACGGGATCTTATTTTCCTAAGCAGGGATCGAACCCACAATCCCTGCAGTGGAAGCTTGGAGTCTTAACCATTGGACCACCAGGGAAGTCCCTCTTCATATATTTTCTTGTTACTAGTTACTGCTTTTTCTTTTCTTAAAGAAGTTTCTTAACATTTCTTTAGACTCTTTTGCAACCCCATGGGCTGTAACCCACCAGGTTCCTCTGTCCATGGGATGTTCCAGGCAAGAATACTGAAGTGGATTGCCATTTTCTACTCCAAGGGATCTTCCTGACCCAGGGATCGAACCTGTGTCTCTTGTGTCTTCTGCATCGGCAGTTGGGTTCTTTACCAGCTGAACCACCTGGGAAGCCCTTTCTTCTTCTGGTATCACTACAATGTGGATGCTATTCTGTTTGTTGTTGTTCAATAGGTCCCTTAAGCTACATTCACTTTTAAAAATTCTTTTTGCTGCTCTGTTTGGGTGATTTCTACTACCTCTCTTTGAGGTCACTGATTTATTCATCTACTTCATATAGTTTGCTGTTCAACCCTGTTAGTGTATTTTTTTTTTTCAGTTCAGCTATTACATTCTTCAGGTCTGTGACTTCTGTTTCATACTTTCTTATTTTTTTGGTCTCTTTCTTACAGTTCTCACTGTGTTCATCCATTCTTCTCTTGTTTTTGTAAGCATCTTTATGACCATTACTTTGAACTCTATCAGGTAGATTACTTATCTCTATTTCACTAGGGTCCTTCTCTAAGGTTTTAGCTTGTTTTTTCATTTGGAATATATTCCTCTGTCTCCCCATTCTGCTTAATGCTCTGTGTTTGTTTCTATGTCTTAGGTAAAACAGTGATCTCTCCAAGTCTTAAAGGAGTGGCCTAGTGCAAAAATGACTCATGGGGTCCAGTTGCACTACTTCTCTGAGCACCAGAGGTAGGCAGTCAAGGGACATCTCTATGTGGACTGGGTGTAATTTCTAGCATTAGTAGGGCCACAGCGGTGGCATGGTGGGATCAGGTGTGCCTACTGGCTTTAACAGGGAAAGAGGGAGTGCCAAAATGGTGCCCACCAGTGCTGACACTAGCAAGGCCAAAAGAGAACTCAAAGATGATACCTGTCAGTGCTTCCATCTCCAGAGAGTCTCAGCAAGTTTCTGCATCTCCAGAAGTCCCCCCAAGTCTAGCAAGTCAATCTCCTCTACACATGGTCCAGGCACCCTTCAAACTGCCAATCCTGTGTGAGGTCCCAGGGCAAGTGAGTCAGTGTATGAGCCGTTTAAGAGCAGTTTCTCCATTCTCTACGGCTCTATGGGAATAAACCACGTTTGTTTTCATAGACAGAGAGTTTGTGGGCTTGTCTCTTTGGCATCAGTCCCCAGGGTTTTGAATGCTTTATGTGGAGTATAAACACCTTACTCTTCAGGACAAAGTTCCATATTCTTTTCAGATATCTCCCTCACTTGTGGGTTGCCATGTCTTGGATGTGGTATTTGGTGAGACCAAGTCTCTGCTTCTCCTACCCATCTCAATATGGCCTTTTTAATCTTTGTTGTAGATGCAAGTTGAGCTAGTTTTGTAGATTTAGTGTGTCCTTGTGATGTGAGTTCAGGATCTTTGTACATCACCATTTTAAAGTGGAAGCCTTCTTTTCTATTTTAAAAAAGTTTTATTTATTTTATTTTGGGCTGTGTTGGGTCTTTGTTGCTGCGTGGGTTTTTCTCTAGTTGCAGATAGTGGGAGCTGCTCTCTAGTTAAAGTGTGCAGGCATCTCATGGTGGTGGCTTCCCTTGTGGAGCATGAACCCAATAACTGTGGTGCCCAGGCTTAGTTGCTCCATGACATATGGGGTTCTCCCGGATCAGGAATCAAATCTGTCCATGTCTCCTGCCTTGGCAGGGAGATTTTTACCACTGAGCCACCAGGGAAGCCCCCTCTTTTCTATTTTTAATTATTTTTTTTCCTGTTTTTCTCCTCTAATTGAATAATTTCAAATGACCTGTCTTCTGTTGCTCTAATTCTTTTTTTGTTAAATCCAGTCTGTTGTTGAAGCTGTCTGTGGAATTCATCAGCTTGGTCATAGCAGAGTTGAAGAGTCTTTCAACTCCAAGATTCCTGTTTATTTTTATTTAATGATTTCTCTTTCTTTGTTGGACTCATTTTTTTAAGTTATCAATTTTTAATTTAATTTAATATCCAGCATGACTTGTGGGATATTAGTTTGCTGATCAGGGCTCAAACACAAGCTCTTGGCAGTGAAAGCAGGGAGTCCTAACCACTGGACTGTTAAAGAATGCCCTAAACTAATTTTTTTATGCATTATGCTACTAATTTTATTTTGTTTTCTCTGTGTTCTTGTAGTTCACTGAATTTCTTAAGAGGATTATTCAGAATTATTTGTCAGTCCATTTATCTCTTTTTCTTTAGGGCCAATTATTGAAGCTTCTCTGGTGGCTCAGAGGATAAAGAATCTGTCTACAGTACAGGAGATCTGGGTTCAGTCCCTGGGTCAGGAAGATACCCTGGAGAAGGGAATGGCAACCCACTTCAGTGTTCTTGCCTGGAGAATCCCATGGGCAGTTAGCTTGGTAGGCTACAATCCATGGGGTTGTGGAGTTGGACACAACTAAGAAACTACTACTACAACTACTATTGGAGCTTTATTAATTTCCTTTGGTGGTGTCATGTTTCCTTAATTTTTGTGATTTTTGTGGCCTTCATTGTCTGTGCATTTAAGAAAGTAGTTGTCTCTTCCAGTCTTTACAGTCTGGTTTTGGAAGGGAAAGCCCTTCACCAGTCAGCCTGTCCAGAGATTCTGAGTAAGGCATCTGGTGGTGTCCTTGGGTGTTTGCTGCTGGAGTTTTCAGACAGGCAGGTGGCGCCTGGGTCAGCAGGTGACCATACCTGGTGCTTGGATCCACAGGGTCAATTTTTGTGACAAACTACCTTTGTGTCTGGGTTCACTGGGGTTGACCAGGTGCCTGAGTCTGTGATGGTAAGCCTGGGACCTGAGTCTGTGTGGGTGGGCCTGGATCCTGGGTCTGTGCCAGCCAGTCTGGTCATGGGGACCACTGGGGTGGGTCTGGCATCTGGGTCCATAGGAGCTGGCCTGGTGCTGGGGCAAGCCTAGAGTCTGGGTTCACAGGAGCTTGGAAGCTGGGGTTACCTAGCATTTGGGTGAACCTGACAACTGGGGCGGTAGGAGTCAGCCTATAGCCTATAGTTCCAGGGCTCATGGGGCCAACCTGGAGGTTGACTCCAAGGGCAAGTCTGGAGGTTGGGACCATGGGAGTCCATCTGAAAGCTGGGGCCATGGGAGCAGCCAAGTGCTGGGCTGGGCCGGACGGGGCTGGGAGTCTGTATCCACAGGAGTTTGCCAAGAGTCCAGGCCAGGGAAGCCAGCCTAAAGTCTGAGTCCATGGGGCTGCCTGGTGCTGCCATGGGTCAGGAGCCTGGCTCCACAGGAGCCTGCCTGGAGCCTGGGGCCAATGGTACCAGCCTTGCATTGGGGCAGGCCAAGAGCCTAGTTCCATGAAAGCTCATCTGGAGTATCAGTCTGTAGAAGCCATCTTGGAGCTGGGCAGTTGGGAACCTGGGGCTATGGAGTCAACCTGGTGCTAAGGCAGGTCAGGAGCCTACCAGAGCCTGGGTTCATAGGAACCTGCCTGGCGCTGGGTGGGCTGTAACCTGGCTTTGTGCAAGCCCACCAGGAGCCTGGGGTCGTGGGAACTGGCCTGATGCTGTGCTGGGCTGATGGTGGAGTCCACTGTGACGTCAGGTCCTTCCTTCACTTCCTTCTCCCATAGGTTAGATGTCTGTCTCCACAGGGGAGGGGTGACGGGAGTATGTGAAACTGTCTTTCCTATGTTTTTCAATGCATCTTTTCTTACTTCCATGTTCCACCCAAGTGATGTAATCCCTCACCTGTGAAGCTCTTGTGAAGGTATTTCAGAGCATGGAGAGTTGTTCAAATGGATGTTTCTGGGAGGGGACAAGCCCTAGAAATTCCTAAACCACCACCTTGTTGATGTCATTCTCTAATTCTTCTGCTGTGTGCTGTCTATTGCCAAATACAAATATTGGCTTATTTTATTTCGTAATGTATTTTACAGTGCAAGAGATACTGTTTGCTTCTTCCATTTTTGCCACTTTTCATAGCTTGCTGTTCTAGAAAGATATTCTTATTCATCATTTGTTTCTTAAACATGGTTAGGACAGTTGTTTTAAGCTCTGTGTATAATAGTTACAAAATGTGATCTCTGTGTGGATATGTTTCTGTTTTCCCTTTCTTTCTTACTTTTACTTTCTCCTTCCCTCCTTCTCTCCCTCCCTTCCTTTCTCTTTCCTTTCTTTCCTTTTGCTCTTATTCTTTTTTGTGTGTATGCCTGGTAATCTTCAACTACTTATGGCTTGTCTTTGGAATGACTCTGCTCACCTCTAGAGAGACTTTCTCTTTCCTTCTGGTAGAAAGTACTTGGCTTAAATGAAACCAAATATAGTTTGAGAGTACCTGGTTCAATCAAACTGTAAGTACTCCAAGTGAAAATCCTTGTGAGGGTCTGTCCAGCATCACAGACCTCCAGTAATGACTTCTTTTCTTTACTACTGTCATCTCTCCTCGCCCCCCCACCCCCACCCCCTGCCCTCCCAGTGCCAAGACAGCCTATCTCATGGGTTCCAGAGGCTGAGGAAATTTGAGAGTGGGTCTAGGGCTGGTTTGCTTGTTCCTTCCCCAGGCCCAGGCCTACCGTGAATCCCAACTTCTTTCTTTCTATGCTTATAGAGTATTGACAGTGGTGTGTCCTATATCAGCATAGAACATATTGTAGTTAAAGCTGTTTAAAAACATTTCAGGTCCTGATTCTGTAAGCCTGGGGTAGAACCTGAGATTCTGCATTTCTGGTAAACTGTTGGTTGTTGCCAGTGCTGCTGCTCCAAGGACCACACTTTGAACATCAAGAATGTGCAGAACAAGGACAGTTCCATGTGATTTGCCATCAGGTGAACCATAGAAAAATTGAGTTGTGGGGATCAGAACTGGGATGGACTTGTGGGGCTGAGATGACTGTATTAGACTTTAAACTGAATAATGAAGGATAGATATGGATGGACAAAGGAATTACATTTCAAGGCAAATTCAGTTCTGGCTAGCTAAGAGAGTAGGGAAGTTGTATCTCTAAACTGTATCCCTATGGAGTTATTTTCTTGCAGAGAGAGAAATTTCCTTCATCGTATTTGATTCGATTTCCCTTCTTAGGCTTATCTACTCCCTTAGCTATGAAGGATGTCACTTCCCTATTAGGGAGAGAGACACAGAGGTCTTGGGTTATCTGGTATCACCTAAGCCCCCATCACCTCTGATAATGGTACTATGGGCTAAGTTCCCAGGTCATATAGAGCTCCATGTTTTATAGGATGCAATAAAGAATCTGGAAGGACCACATATCCTATTGACTGTGGTCATGAACGAGTTTGCATTAGTATATGTGGCATCTATACTAGTGTGTCCTGGATGTTTGCTTCTTTGTATCTGATGGCAGGATATTGAGCCCCTCTTCTTAAGATATCCAAGTGCATTCAGTCCTGTGTAAGGAGCATGGGGGTGATGTCACAAATTCTGGACTTTCTTCTGCCATGTCCTTCTCAAGGGGACCTTCCCCATCCAGGGATCCAACTAGTGTCTCCTGCAACTCCTGCCTTGGCAGGTGGATTCTTTTAACACTGAGCCACCTGGGAAGCCTTTTCTTCTTAGAGCATGGGAATCAACTCATGCTAAGCGATGCTCTAGGCAGGACCTCTTTATAGACGCAACTTGATTCTGAATCCCAGTTTTGACTCAAAGAAACTTGCTATACATTTAAATGTCAGTGCTTCATGACTCCACACTCTTAAGAGGACAGCTCACCAGCTTATCATGGGCTACCCAGGACAAGATCAAGAAGCAAGAATCTTTGGAGAGGGTAAAGGTGTGAACATGAGGGTGTCTTTATGAGGTGAGGTAGGCTGATGAGGTAGTTAGGAACCCCATGAGAAATGTTAGCACAATCCCATCAAAGGCTGAAGAACCTGAGACATTTACTCACCAATCCCCTCCCCAACTGGTTGAAGTTGCCCCTGAGATGCAAGCCCTTGATGTAGAGCAGACAGGAGCTGGGAACCACTACAGACAGTGAACTCTGATGGGCTGAAAGGTTGGAACAGTCTCACCAGCACTGCCTGTTTCCCTTTGCGGAAGAGCTAATGCATGTCTTCTAGCACAGGAAATAGAGCATCTAGAAGCCACTACTCCAGAGTCCATGAGGGGCAGGGTGTGAAGGAGCTGACCTTGTTTAAGCAAGTCTTTCCTTGAGTGGAGAAGCAGCATTCACACTCGCTCTGAAAAGCTGGAGGAGCATACACTGGAGTGTTTGTATTTTTTCATCTAAGATTGGCAGGGGATGAGATGACCGGACCCAGGAGTGGTTGGAAATTACACAGGCCTTAGGGGACCACTCCCTTTCTAAGTCTACCTTGAACCCACTATGGGTTTCCACTCTTTGGAATAAGATTAGTGTTAACATTTTGCAGCATCATTGCTTAGTCATCAGCCATGGGACAGTCCCATAACACTTCTTTCCTCAAACTCAGTGTTGATGACAATGTTTCCTGGTGACTGCTCTTAAAAACTTAACATGCCTCCTTTTTCACGGTGCGTGAACAGGTTGCAACCCTGCCCCAGTTGATATTTCTTTATATAAAGCCTCACTAAATTCCCCTGGTATCAGGAACTGACGAATACTCAGGGTGCTGGGAAGTCCTAGCCCCAGTGAGGCAGAACCTCCTCCTTTCTTGATGTGGATCAAAGGCTTGGGCCCTATTGGACTCTGTCAGAGCACCTGAGCATAGAAAAAGCCATAGTCCATAGACATAGGGACACAGCGTCCTCCATAGCTGCAAAGCCTGCTGACCTTTGATCTTCTCTGCTTCTAGACCTCTGGCCTTGGCCCTCCTGTCATCTTTAGGCTCTGGGTTTAGGCCTGAATGCAGGTACCGCTGCTTCTGCTGGAAGGTAGGCTACGTCCAAGAAGGTGAACAGGAGAGGGAGCAAGGTGAATTCTGGGACCGTAGATTCTCCCTGGGGTTGCTGTTGACTCATTAGCTCTTTTTCTGACTCAAGGTCAAACCGTGGCTTGGGACTGACTTAGATCCTCTTGTGGGATCCATCTGCACATAAATGTCTTCACACCTTGGCAGTTCCGAAACACCATCATCCAAAAGGAATGAAAGAATGAAAGGTCCAGGTGAAGATGTACATGGAAGGACAAAAATATTGGAAAGGGGGGATATTTGGTACCCTCCTGTTCACATTTGCCTTTTGATTTTCTCTACAGTATTATCCAGGATACACCCAATTCTGGTGGATATTCAGGATGTCAACCATCTGGTATGGGTCCTTCAAGGCCAGACCCTCACAGCTGTCCCCAGGAAGGACCAGATGGATCCAGGTGAGTGGTCAAGGCCTGTCCAAGGCATTTCCTTTGACCAGTGCTGCTGTGTGTCATGTGCTCAGCTTTTTCATTTCACTGTGAATAGACTTGTTAACTGGGCTTATCTCACAGGTTGTAATGAATGAGAGAGTGATCTGTGATTATGTTGTGTTCCCAGTCACTGTTACCTTAATCTCATGCAAGTACACAGAGACTCTTGAGAAGGGCAGGGGGAATCCTGTCTACTTGGGACTGAAGGAGCCGGAGCTTTGCCTATTCTGCACGAAGGTCAAGGGGCAGCCTGTGCTGCAGCTTCAGGTGAGTATGAAAAATAAGGGTCTTGTTTATGCCTGACTAGGAGTAAAAGTGAGTGTTAGTTGTTCAGTTGTGTCCGATTTTGCCACCACATGGACTGTAGCCCTGCCAGGTTCCTCTGTCCATGGGGTTCTCCAGGCAAGAGTACTGGAGTGGGTTGCCATTTCCTACTCCAGGGGATCTTCCCCACCCAGGGATCGAACCCCAGTCTCTAGCATTGGGACCAGATTTTTGACCATCTGAGCCATAGTATTTACCCCCATAGGAGGAAGATTTCCCTGGTGGCTCAGATGGTAAAGCGCCTGCCTACAATGCAGGAGACCCAGGTTCAATCCCTGGGTTGGCAAGATCTCCTGGAGAAGGAAATGGCAACCCACTCCAGTATTCTTGCCTGGAAAATCCCATGGACGGAGAAGCCTGGTAGGCTACAGTCCATGGGGTCGCAAAGAGTCGGACACAACTGAGCGACTTCATTTAGCACTTAGGAGGAAGATGTGCATTTATTTCACTAAGTGCTCATTTGATGGAAAATTTAACTTTTTAGAATCTTTGTTAAATTTATGTTTTTCCTAGCTGTGCCAGCTCTTCCTTGCTGTGCATGGGCATTCTCTAGTTGCTGAGGACAGGGGCTATTCTCTAACCGCGGTGCACAGGCTTCTCACTGTGCGCTGAGAAGTGGTGGCTTCTCTTGTTGCAAAACGTGGGCTCCAGGGCACGAGGGCCTCAAAGGTTGTGGCACACAGGCTTAGTTTCCCCGCGGCATGTGGGAGCTTCCCAGACCAGGGATCGAACCTGTGTTCCCTGCATTGACAGGCCCATTCCTAACCACTGGACCACCAGAGAAGTCCTCTAGAATCTTTTAAAGGACAAATTATTGGTTATCCTTATGCATATTTATCTTTGGTTCTTTTTAGGATGCATGTATTATGAAACAAGAAAAAATTGCAGGGGTATTTTGAAACTAATCTGCTAAAATCATTTGTATTTCTTAAGAAGTAATTCAGCAAAGAGGAAGGCTTTTAGATTTATTCTTGACTATATATGTGAATCTCTCTCTGTCTCTCTCACACACATATACACACACAGTCATCCCTTGGCATCTTTGATGGATTTGGTGCAGGACTCCTCTACCCCTCATGGATACCAGAGTGGATGCTCAAGTTCCTATATGACCTATATAATTATGTAACCTATCCTTTAAATCAGCTCTAGATTACTTAATAATACCTAATACAGTAAGATGGAGAAGGCAATGACCTCACTCCAGTACTCTTGCCTGGAAGATCCCGTGGATGGAGGAGCCTGGTAGGCTACAATCCATGGGGTTGCTAAGAGTCGGACACGACTGAGCAACTTCCCTTTCACTTTTTACTTTCATGCATTGGAGAAGGAAATGGCAACCCACTCCAGTGTTCTTGCCTGGAGAATCTCAGGGACGGGGGAGCCTGGTGGGCTGACGTCTATGGAGTCACACAGAGTCGGACACGACTGAAGTGACTTAGCAGTAGCAGTAGCAGCAGCAGCAATACAGTGAGAACACTATATAAATAGCTGCCAGCACAAAGAAAATTCAAGTTTTGCTTTTTTGGAACTTTTTGGATTTTTTTGTTTTTTTCCAAATATTTTTGGTCCTCAGTTGGTTTACTCCAAGTACGCAGAATCTGTTGATAGGAAGGGTCAACTGCACATGTGTGGGTGGAATCAGTTTTGACACTTTCAGCAGTTGATTATCACTAGGTGGGTTAGCAAATTAAAACATGTTTTTGACAGGAGATAGTTTTCAACTGTAAGTGAACAAGCAATTCTCTATAACAAACATTTTAATAATGCTATTCTCCATTATTTAAAAATATTTTAAGTTATAGGAGGATCACAAACCAGGCCTCTATGTGCTTTAGGAAATCTGTTGATTCCTTGATCTATATATTCTATAGGTTTCCTAGGTGGCCCTAGTAGTAAAGAACCTGCCTGCTAATGCAAAAGATGTAAGAGATGCAGGTTTGATCCCTGGATAGGGAAGATCCCCAGAAGGCAGGCATGGCAACCCACTCCAATATTCTTGCTGGAGAATCCCATGGACAGAGGAGCCTGGCAGGCTACAGCTCATAGAGTCGTAAAGAGTTGGACACAACTGAAGGGACTTAGCATGCATGCATGTAAGTTCTCTATCTATATTTATTCTACTGGAAAGAAGAGTGAAAGTGAAAGTCACTCAGTCATGTCTGACTCTTTGGAACCCCATGGACTAAACAGTCCATGCAATTCTCCTGGCCAGAATACTGGAGTCAGTGGCTATTCCCTTCTCCAGGGGATCTTCCCAACCCAGGGGCCGAGCCCAGGTCTCCCCCATTGCGGGCAGATTCTTTGCCAGCTGAGCCGCCAGGGAAGACCACCTACTGGAGTCAGGAATAAATGTAAAAGCCTTCAGCAAACAAGCACAGGCAGACACTCAATTTGATGACAAGATGGAAAATAGTGGTTTAATGATGGGCAATTTTGCCCTTGACAAATTTTTCAATGTCTGGTGATATTTTTAGTTGCCACACCTAGCAACTGGGGGATTCTGCTGATCTCTATTGGATAGAGGCCAGGGGTGCTGTTAAACTTCCCAGCATACACAAGACAGACCCTGACAACAAAAGATTATTCTGCCCAAAACATCCATAGTTCTGAGGTTAGAGACACTTGATATGAAACCACTCTATTTAAATTCATGATAACTGTTATGTAACTATTCCTTGGGTTTATAAGGAACAGGTAATGGCTAAATCTGTGCTTTGTATTCTCAAAAACGTTGATGTCAACACTGTTCTTCTTCAAAGGCTCACATTAAGAACCATTGAAATTAGTGGTCTAAGTTTTCACTCCTAAACTTAACATCTCTAAAGTATTTGGGGCTGATAATTTTTAATGGTTTAATATGAAATAGAGGTGCCCAGGCCTGTTTCAACAGAGAAGATAATCTTGAATAGGAACTGTTAGTGTGCAGAGTGTGGAACAACTCAAACAGTGATGTTTCTCCCTGGGACCTCCTTCTCGCCCTTTAGGAACAGAACATAATGGATCTGTACCACCAAACTGAACCTGTGAAGCCTTTTCTCTTCTACCATGACCAGAAAGGCAGGGCCTCCAGCTTTGAGTCTGTGGCCTTCCCTGGCTGGTTCATCGGCTCCTGCTCCAATGGAAGTTGTCCTGTGATTATCACCCAAGAACTGGGGAAAATCTACACTACTGACTTTGGGTTCACAGTACTCCAGGCTTAAGGCTAGTCTAGGGATGAGAGTTGTTCTCTGCAAAGAGAATCTTGTCTTTGGTTTCCTCCATTCAAGCTCTTGAAGTGCTTCTGAATCACAGCACTGCAAATCAGCAATACTTTAATTAATTAAGAAAAAAAGAGAGAAAAGTGCTTCGGAGATGAACATTATCATACAGATCATTCAACAAGGAAAGGCAGAATTGCCAGAATTATGTCCATTTCATTTTTGCAGGGCTTTCAAGTTCCCCAGCCATGAATTGAACCATCTTAGTCAGAGAAGGCGATGGCACCCCACTCCAATACTCTAGACTGGAAAATCCCATGGACGGAGGAGCCTGGTAAGCTGCAGTCCACGGGGTCGTGAAGAGTCAGACATGACTGAGCAACTTCACTTTCACTTTTCACTTTCATGCATTGGAGAAGGAAATGGTAACCCACTCCAGTGTTCTTGCCTGGAGAATCCCAGGGACAGGGGAGCCTGGTGGGCTGCCATCCATGGGGTCTCACATAGTCGGACACGACTGAAGCGACTTAGCAGCAGCAGCAGCAGCAGTCTTAAAGGAAGGAAGAATCTTGGTTAAGCTTTTCACCCAAGAGTATCTTACTGACCTCAACACATGCATTCAGTGACAACATACACACAACACTGGGCCAAGTTGTGTGCCTTCTGCCAGGAACCACATGGACAAAAGTGCAGGGAAATTGAGGGTCTTTGCTATGGCTATGTAGTTAAATTATGACACCTTGACAAAAATACTAAAGAAAACTCTACTTAACATACCTGCTAATGATGCTTCAAATAACAAATGAAGGTGATGATTCTTTCATTTGGAGTCCAGATCTCTGGATTTTCAGATATGTTGCACTGTGGCAATGTATCAAGATCTTTTGGATCCTGGTAGGGAAAAGCAGACAGACAAGTTCCATAGAAGAAAAGACTAAGAAGAAAGCTGGAACCCCTTGTGGGCATGGCTTGTGTCTCAGTGAAGTTATGTTCTCTGCTGGTTTGAATGAAGAACTAGTGTTGTTTATGAAGCTTTCACCTAAAGCATTATCACTGGATCTCATGGAAAGTCAAATTTATGAAATAAAAAATTTGCTCTTCTCAGTTGCTGCTATGAATGGAATGACTTTAATGGGATATCATGATCATAATACTGATTCCTTACATTCATAAGGAGTTTTACCATTTGTTCCCATGAAATGATAAAAGCAGGTTCCCATGAAATCTCCCACTTTTAAGAAGAACCCAGTAGGATAGTTGTAGAAGGTGGTATCTTCCTAAACTCAGGTTTTCCCTGGCCTCACTACTGGGGTGGTGGTACAAATAAAGCATCATTAGTAGATATCATACTCCATATTTTACACATAATGCAACCACACAGCTAACAAAACGCTCCCCTATCCTATCCCAGAAAGAGCTTCTGAGAGTCTTCTGTGGGTTTTTTCCATCAACTCACAGGCCATGATCTGGCAAGGCATACACTCATCTAGAGCATAGTGATAACAAGACTTATCTCTTCCTCTACACTTTATGAAATAACATTTGTTCCCAATAACATGACAATAATCATGTCAGTGAACAGCATTCTCTGTAAATACGTGGATTTCTTTTTAAAAAATTTATTCATTTATTTAATCTTGGCTGCACTGGGTCTTGGTTGCAGTGTGGACTTTTCTCTAGTTGCAGTGCGTGGGCTTCTCATTGCAGTGACTTCTCTTGTTGCAGAGCACAGGCTCTAGGGCATACAAGCTTCAGTAGTTGCAGCTTCCAAGCTCTAAAGCACAAGCTCAATAGTTGTGGTACATGGGCTTAGTTGCTCCATGGCTTGTGGGATCTTCCTGGACCAGGGATTGAACCCATGTCCCCTGCACTGGCAGGTGGATTCTTATCCACTGAGCCACCAAGGAAGCCCAATATGGTGATTTCTAACCCATATCATCTTGTGATTTTTTTTAAACTTTCTGTTATGATTTTACTTGCCCTAAGATTTGGAGAAAGATTACGGAGACAATATTTTTCCAAGCACATTGATGAATTTCTGGACCCCGCAAGCATTGCCTTGACCTCCTCACTCCATCCTAATATCTTCTGCCTTTTAGCATTTGAGTGGCCACGTTGATGTCAGAGATCAATTTCTTCCTGGTGACAGCACAGAAATCCCTGAGCTTTTCATTTCTCATGGTTTCTACAGAAAGCTAGACCTGTTTTTTCCTCTGCTTTCCCCTATGTAGGTAATTTCCCGAGAGCTGTGAGGTGGCCAGAACTCACACGGGGGAGTTCCCTGGTGTCCAATGGTTAGCACTTTCACTGCCCGAGCCTGGGTTTGATTCCTGGTCTAGGGGAACTAAGATCCCGCAAGCCATGCAGCAGAGTCAAAGCAAAACAAACAACAAGCAAAACAAAAAACAAACCTCCCCAGAACAAAACAAAAATACCCCCCCCAAACACCCCCAAACCCAAAATAATAAAAACCCAAACAATTATCACCCTGGGACAATGGGCATAAACTGGATGCTCTTGGACCAACTGATGTGTACAGTCTCTTGGGTTCAAGGCTGGAACCCATATCAGACTTCTCAAGAACTCCCTCCCTACAGCCTGTCCTGGCTGAGGAGCCAGGGTGAACCTGAGGATCTCTCAGTATATCAGTCATCCAGCTGAAGGTGAAGCTCCTAGTCTCCTCTAGCTGTCTGAGAGATCTTCCTGGGGTAGTCCATTTCTGCTATGGACTAGGAGAGCAACCCCTGACCCTTCTCCATGAGAGGGGCAGGAACTTGCCTCTCATCTCAACAGATGCCCCTACAAGGCAGCTCTCTCCCTTTCTCTCTTCTCAGTCTTCCTCTTATTCATAGACTATTCATTCATTCCTTTGTTTATTTAATACATTTTTACTAATCCCCAAAATGGGTGAGACACTATTTCAGACATCAAGGATCTAGTTAACAAGACAGAGAAGTTCCTTTGCCCCATGAAGCTGGCATTTTGGTGCTGAGGACAATACACACATACATACGTGTCTATGTACATACATATATACATATGCACATAACAGATAAATATCCATGGTCATGGCAACATGCATATTATAAGGAAAATAATAGAGAAGAATTAGAAATCAAAGCATGAGTGAGCAGGCTCTTGGAGACAGGGCAGTCAGGGAAGACATCATTTAGAGGCTGTTTTTTTGTTTTTGTTTTTTTTTTTTTTGCAAATGAATGGAAGTAAGAGGGCGGACCCCATAAAGTCTGGGAAAGTCCAATTCCTGCAGAGCAACAGCAGAGGCTCCCTGAGAAGAGGAGCTCTTTGTTGGGAGCGGGGGTAGAATCAGCAAGACACCAGAGCGGGAAAGGTAGGAAGCGCAGGGATAGAAGACGTGCAGAGAGACAAGCAAGGGCACATTTACAAGCAAGGGCAAGTTTACCTGTGCTTGTGTGAGCTGTGTTGAGCGCTTTTGGGGTGTGATGTGAGACCATGGGAGAGTTCTGAGCAGGGCAGTGATAGGATCACACTGACATCTTTGATCCTGCTCACTGCTGCTGGGTGGGAGTTTAACTTGAGGGAGGTAAGAACAGAAGCAGGGAGGCCAGTTAGGGACTGCTGCAATACTCCCTGGGAGAGAGTCAGTGGTGGATTTCAGAGAACAGAGCCCTGATCAGTGGTTGTGAGTAACATGGAAGTAAATCTTGGCATGGAATGAATACTTCTTTATGTTTAGACATGTGTGTTTGCATGCTAAGTTGTGTCAACTCTTTGTGACCCTGTGAACTGTAGCCCGCCAGGCTCCTCTGTCCCTAGGATTCTCCAGGCAAGAATACTGGAGTGGGTTGCCATGTCCTCCTTCAGGGGATCTTCTAGATGGAGGGACTGAACCAGGGTCTCCCGCATCAATGGCACACATGTTCTTCACCACTAGCTCCACCTAGGACTGACAAACAATATGGGTTTCAAGGGTAATGGTTCCCTTTCACCACCAATGTTGAGGCTGAGTTTGACTCCTGGAGCAGAGATAGGAAGCCAGGAGACCTCCAGATGTCCTCCTATTGAGTGAGTCTCCTTAGACACAGTGCAGTTTTTTAATACCCACCACCAAGCACAAGGCTTCCTATGTATCTCAGTTAACACAGGGTGCAGGAGATCATGATCCAAAGGCAACATACTACATAGTGGTTAAGAACAGAAAGGCTTGACTTTTACAAAATAATTTTTTTTGTTTATTTATTTTTGGCTGTGCTGGGTCTTTGTTGCTCTGTAGGCTTTTCTCTAGTTGCGGTGAGTGGGGGTTACTCTTCATTGCAGTACAAAGGCTTCCTGTCGCAGTGGCTTGTTTTGTTGTGGAGCACAGGCTCTAGGGTGCATGGACTTCAGTAGTTGTGACATGTGGGCTCAGTAGTTGTGACTCCTGGACTCTAGAGCACAGGCTCAATAGTTGTGGCTCACGGGCTTAGTTGCCCTGTGGCATATGGGTTCTTACTGGATCAGGGATCAAACCCATGTCTCCTGCATTGGCAGGTGGACTCTTCACCACTGAGATACCAGGGAAGCCCCAAAAGACTTGGTTTTTAACTTAGTTACATTTCTTAGTGGCTATATGACTTTGGTTAAGTTTTGCCATCACTCAGGGACTGTTTTCTTCCATAAGAAATAAAGATGAATAGCTCCTAAAGGATGAAAGATTTATCAGGTACATCTCTATCAGATACAGAATGAATCTTGCATAAATATTGGTTATGCAAAACTCTGAAAGGAGGACTATGGATTGCATCAAATAGGATGTGAATGAGGCCATGGCTCACACAGTCAGTGAATAAAGTGAGCCACACCTCTGCCTCCAAAGCAGTCCAGAAGGAAGTTCTCCTCCTTAACACAGCATCTGGCCTTTTCTGTATTTCCTCATTGGTGTTTCCTGACATTTACTCTCCTCTGGTTTCTCCAGGACCCCAGCCTGGCCACACCTGTGCTGCCTCTCAGTCATCCACTGAATCCTCATGGGACCTCTGTCTTGGACCAGTTTTCTTGTCAAAGTGGGAACACCCAGAGCCAGGAAATAACCCTATTTCCTCACTCATTTAAAGGCCTGGAAGTCCCGGAGAGTTCTCCAGGGCACTTGGATGCAGGTGGAGCCTTAGCATTGGGCTCTAGGACAAGAGCATCTCTGGACAAAGGTAACTCCTGCTGCTCAGAAACTGTGTATGGGGAACTTTCTTTCACTGCTCTGTTTCCAGCCTTGAGGAAACTCTGGGAGCTTTGGTCCAAGACCCACAGTGTCAGAGGAACTGAGACTGCTTCCAGAGTGCTGCTGATAGTGGGTTTACTCTTTCTCTAGGGATGACAATAGATTCAGGCACTGCATATCCTGAGGCAGAGGGGGATGGGAACAATTGGTTCTCATTGTGGGAAGTTTGTGGTCTTCTTGGGGAATTGTCATGGTTCCCTAACCAGAAGCTCAGAGATAGATGTCCCCTAATAGTCAAAATACCTAATGTGGTCCATGGATATCCTTGTGCAGAGATGCCTCTTTGGATGAAAGGTGGGGGAAGATGTGAGTCAGAGAGACAGGGTAGCTGCTGGTTATTTAGGATGCTCAAGCTTGAAGTCAGGCTAGCTGGTGGCTTATCAGCTGTGCTAAGTGGAGACAGGCATGCACTCTTTCTTCCTCTAAATCCAGAGACTTGCTGCACCAGAAGGTACCTGAGCTAATACACTTAAATCTCCTAACAATCCTAGATGTGATGGATGGAGGGCATCCCGGGGCCACTGCAGCCTGGAGAGCCAGGACCACTCAGCCCTGACAGTAACGGGAGCTTCCATCTTGGGTTTTACAGCCCTGGAACATGCTTTTCCCATCCTTACTCTCAAATGTGCATCTAAGACAGGGCCTCAGGACAGTTTTTTTATACAGCATTCCGGGGAAAGGGAGAGAAATTGATAACGTGTTTTTCTTCCCTCTTTCCCTATAAGACTAACTGCTGGCCACAGCCTCTCCACCATCTGGTCTACCTCATCCTCTTCACAGAAAGCTCTGAAACCAACATGGAAAGCCCTATGTGTAAGTGATGAATCACAAACCAGCTTGGAAATACTTCTATCTGGTCTCCCCAAATAAATGGAGTACAGGGATTTCTGTTTTGTAATTTAGAGTATAAGAAACCCTTGTAGTCCAGATTATTCATTCAAAATAAATAAGCAGTTCTATTATAAACAGTGCTGCGATGAACATTGGGGTGCACGTGTCTCTTTCAGATCTGGTTTCCTCGGTGTGTATGCCCAGAAGTGGGATTGCTGGGTCATATGGCAACAGATCACCAGCCCAGGTTGGATGCATGAGACAAGTGCTTGGGCCTGGTGCACTGGGAAGACCCAGAGGGATCGGGTGGAGAGGGAGGTGGGAGGAGGGACCGGGATGGGGAATACATGTAAATCCATGGCTAATTCATTTCAATGTATGACAAAATCTACTGTAATGATATAAAGTAATTAGCCTCCAACTAATAAAAATAAATGGAAAAAAAAAGAATAAACAATTACAAAGATACCTAAAAAAAAAAAATAAGCAGTTCTAGAACTACTTATTTATTTTGATAAAGAGGGTAAATAAGAAACAATATATTGATGACTGATTTATATATACTTGGTTTTGTACCAAGAGACTATCAATCAGCAAAAAGACAAGTCACTGATAATCCTAGAAAAAAGGGTGAATCTTGAAAGTCTCTTGGGACTATGAATGCATGTAGCTTCTTCCAGATGCATTGGTTCACAAACCAGCCCCTGCCCTATTTCCTTGCCCTTAATAACCACTCCTTGTCAGAGCAGTAAACCTACTCCTAGGAATCCTAGGAATCAAAGGCCTTTATTACCAGTTGCAATTGGAGTCCTAAAGTTTACAATAGCCTCATGTATATTTTGCGATTTTCTGTCTTCTGGCAGTGCAAGAGTATCCCAGTTACCGTCACATTCGTGATTCTCAGCAGATGGTGTGGATCGTAAAAGGAAATTCGTTAATAGCAGTTCCTTCTAGCAACAACGTTAAACCTGGTGAGTGACAATCAAAGCCACTGTGTTGCCCTTAAAGGGATATCAGATCCACTGGGGATGAGGGCGAGCTTGTGTGAGCTTGGGAAGCATATTCTTGGGGACAGCTTCAGTGCCCTCAAGAAAGGCAGGAAAGGGCAAGCTGGTTCCCTCAAACTATCTGGAAAGTGTGTGAGGAAAGGAGACCTGTACCCAGAAATGAGGGTGTGATGGATCTGGAACTCTCCTTACCAAAGGAAAATGTCCTTAGTTAAGAAGAGATTATTCATTCAGTTAACAGCTGACCTTCTCCTTGGAATTTCTCTCTTCTAAATTTCAACCATTGCTACCTCTGTCCTTAAATTTAAACTGCTTCAGCTTTCCATTATCATACCTGTATTTTTCTAATTTGGAGTCCTCTCTTTGAATAATAGGGGAATATTCCTTCCTCCCATCATAAGTCCATTGCATGCCAATTATATCTCAATAAAGCTGGAAAAAAAGTCAACCCAAATCAGCTTCTTTTCCTTTCTTGTTTGTTCCTTTGATGTTTGATTTCATTCCCCTCTCCCCTGCTTATTCTGTCTTTATCTTCTAACTCTGATAAACATGTGCTAATAGAACATTTCCAGGCTTAATACTAAAAACCTCCTCTGAATTTGCACATTTCATTTCTACAAGTGTTCTATTTTCCTATGTGGTAATCTATATACTGTTCTATGTACAGTCATAGTCATGGAAGAGTACACAACTTGTCTCCATTTCCCCACCTGTCCATGCTTACATCAAAGAATAAAACTTCTGAATTGTTCTTTGCCCACTCATCTCTAGCTGCTCTTTCCAGTCACCTGACCCATTTCTCTGTCCTCACTTTTTGTTCCTCAGCGGCAGTCAGCATAACTGATTACTCTTTCTTGAACACTCTCCATTCCCTCCCTTGGTAAGAATGTTCTATGTCATTCACTGGCTCTTCTTTTGCACTCTCCATTCTGACTCCACTTTCTCTGTGAAATAGCCAAATGCTGGCAATTTTCAGAGCTCAATCTGTAACCATCACATCACCACTCTGAAGGGACTCAGAGCTGGCTTCTTGGATTGATGTGTTGCCTCTTCATTGTGGCACTTATGCTTCCAACCCAGATGTCTCCCCTGAAAATTTTTCCCATGTCCTTTTTTGCTTCTGTCTGACAGAAGATGATAGAGAGCAGAAGAGTATGTATAGAAAGGCTTTGTGACCAAGCAAAAATGGCCTGGAACATTCCCATTCATAACCATTGGCTAAAATGGAGTCACATAACTTGTAGCTAACTGCAAGGGATACTGGGAAATGTAGTCTAACTCTGTGTCCAGAGACAAAACAAAAACAGATTTTGGCTAGTAGCTAGTGACCTTTAAATTCCAACTATCACAGGGTGGGTGTGCAGTGAAAGTTTCCTGAACTGTTTGCTGAGCTGATGTATAGGTCTCTATAACCCATGTCCTTTTGATAAAGTCCTCTCAGACATCTCCGGTGGCGCTAGTGGTAAAGAACCCGCCTGTCACTGAAGGAGATGTAGGAGATGTGGATTTGATCCCTAGGTTGGGCAGATCCCCTGGAGGAGGGCATGGCAATCCACTCCAGTATTCTTGTCTGGAGAATCCTGGGGACAGAGGACCCTGGTGGGCTACAGTGCATGGGGTCACAGAGTCAGACATGACTGAAGTGACTTAGCATGCAGACATCTCTAACAACATCTATTCCAAAAGTGGAACTGTGGATCTGACTTCTCAAAATGGTTTATGGACCCAGTCTTCCCTATCTTCTTTAGTGGCACTACCATCACCCTGTTTACTGGAGCCAGAAATACAGAAGGCATCCTTATTTCTTCTTTTCTTTCATCTCCATTTAATCCACCAGCAGAGACTGATGAGTCTATATGCAAAATAAGCCTTATTTCTAAGTTCATATCATCTTTCACTTGGAGCACTGTATTACTTCCTCACTGCCCTCTCTCCCACTTCACTTGTGTAGCTTCACATCCTATCTTCACAAGCCATCAAGAGTGACCTTCTTATCACATTAATTGAAGAATATTGTTTCCAAGTATTTGTGTTTTGGGGGTGGAAGTTTGGGGAAAGTGAGCAGTGAGGAGATCTCAGGCACACCAATCTTATTTTTGGAGCCTGGAACTTACTGAGTTTCTTTCCATGTAAGGGTCTTGACATTTCCTTTCCCTGTCAACACTCTTCGTCCAAACCCTTCCACCACCACATTCCCATTTCTTCATTTACTGGCTTCCTCTTAGCGTTAAGTTCTTGGCTTGAACTTCACTCTGCTTTTTCGCTTCCTCTTTCTTGGTCTCCCTCCTACTATCCCAGGCCTTTGTCAGTTTCCCCAAAACAGGTGTTGCCATTTATCGTGGTTCTGGTCATTTCTCTGTTTGCATGGTTTAGTCCCATTTTCCATGGTGGCAATAACAATGTCTCTTGTTTTCAGCTATATCTCCAGAGCCTTGAGTGAGCACTCAATAAACAATGTTGAATGGATAAATTCCCTTCTCCATACCCAGAAGGATAGATGCAGAACATGCAGGCTCCTGGGAATCACCTGCTAAATTAGTTGAGAATTAAATTATACTGATAGTGACAGAAAATCCACTCAACTAAGAATTAATTAGGGGCTTCCCCAGTGGCTCAGTAGTAAGGAATCTACTTTTCAATGCAGGAGATGCGGGTTTGATCCCAGGGTCAGGAAAAACCCCTGGAGGCAGGCATGGCAACCCACTCCAGTATTCTTGCCTGGGAAATCCCATGGACAGAGGAGCCTGGCAGGCTACAGTCCATGAGATTGCAAAAGAGCCAGACATGGCATGCTGACTAAACCATCCAGCAGGAATTAAATAAGATAGAAATTCCTTTCTTTCTCATGGAAAAGAAGCCTGAGAAGGCAGACTAAGGCCCATAGGTGCCTCTGTAATGCCACCAGATTCCAAGGATTCTAGGGTTCTGCTTTACCATCTTCAAGATCACCTTCACCACCATCTAGGTATTAAGACAGGGAATAAGAAGAAAGCTCCTCCCAACTGAGTGAGCTCCTTTTAAAGAAGAACATTCTTAAAAATCCTACACAACATTCCACTCCTATCTCATGGGCTAAAACTTAAGCATATAGTCAAAGTTAGCTGTAAGTGTGATGTGAAATTTATTGTTATCTTGGGGAAGTAATATATCCTGGTGACAGCTGGGGCTCTGATATTAAGGAAGAAATAAGAAATGGGCTTCAGCCAACTGATGAAGGGTCTCTGACACGTGGCTAGTGGGAAAAGACTTCGGGAGGGGGCCGTGTCCTGGCTGTTCAGTATCCCCCAGATGTGAGTGTCAGACCAGAAGGAATGACCTTTTCACTGCTTGGAGCCTGACACCTGTTTCCATTTTCCCTGTGTTTCCAGTCATTCTTTCCTTGATAGCATGTAGAGACATAGAATTCCACAAGGAAGGAGAAGGTACTCCACATTACCTGGGAATCAAGGACAAAAATCTCTGTCTCTACTGTACAGAAATCCAGGGCTATCCCACTTTGCAGCTTAAGGTGAGTGGTTATGCATCTAATTAGAAAAGTACATTAATGAGAGGAACTTTCAATTTCATTTAATCTGTTACTGACTATAAGTAATAGGTTTGTATAATTCTACAGTAATAGAAGAACAGACTGTATGATTTCAATATCTTTAGACCATGAAATTTTTGCACCTTGTTTTATGTCCCTGGATCATCCAGGGTCTCCTGGTTTATAGTCTATGGGAACTTGAATAGAATTTGTATCCTACCACTGTGTGAAAATAGTATAATCTTGATTATGTTGAATTGGTTCATAGTGCTTTTCAGATATACCATATGCTTCTATTTTTCTGTCTATTCATTCTAGTAACTTTTGAGAGTTTGATATCAAAATTCCAACTAAAAAATCTTAATTTAATATTAAAAAGCAGAGATATTACTTTGTCAAAAAATGTCCATCTAGTCAAGGCTATGGTATTTCCATTAGTCGTGTGTGGATGTGAGAATTGGACTATAAAGAAATCTGAACATTCAAGAATTGATGCTTTTGAACTGTGGTGTTGGAGAAGACTCATGAGACTCGCTGGGACTGCAAAGAGATCTAAGCAGTCCCTCCTAAAGGAGATCAGTCCTGGGTGTTCATTGGAAGGACTGATGTTGAAGCTGAAACTCCGATACTTTGGCCACCTGATGCAAAGAATTGACTCATTTGAAAAGACCCTGATGCTGGGAAAGATTGAGGGCAGGAGGAGAAGGGGACAACAGAGAATGAGATGGTTGGATGGCATCACTGACTCAATGGACATGAGTTTGGGTAAACTCTGGGAGATGGTGATGGACAGGGAGGCCTGGCATGCTGTGGTTCATGGGGTTGCAAAGAGTCGGACACAACTGAGCGACTGAACAGAACTGAACTGAAAAATAATTGCAACCTATAGTGGAATGATATGTAACTTTGTTCTGTATCTTCCAAGTCTCCTGTAAATATGTTATCATTCTTTAATGCTGCTGATGCTGCTGCTAAGTCACTTCAGTCGTGTCCTACTCTATGCGACCCCATAAATGGTAGCCCATCAGGCTCCCCTGTCCTTGGGATTCTCCAGGCAAGAACACTGGAGTGGATTGCCATTTCCTTCTCCAATGCATGAAAGTGAAAAGTGAAACTGAAGTCGCTCAGTTGTGTCCGACTCTTAGCGACCCCATGGACTGCAGCCTACCAGACTTCTCCATCCATGGGATTTTCCAGGCAAGAGTACCTGAGTGGGGTGCCATTGCCTTCTCTGCATCCTTTCATAATTTAGAAAATAAAAAAGAAAGAAGAAAACAAACAAACCAAAAAGAAATAGGTTTGCAATCCTGGATATTCACTATAAAGAAGGAAAGCTGACCTGATTCCCAAGTCAACACAAGGGACCTTTGGAAGGTGTTAAGACTCATTTTACTGAAAGAGCTTACTCTGCAAGCCAGAGAATACATCCCTGAGAATGTTTCACAATGGCCATTCTCAGTCCTCTTTAACCACCTCCCAGAGATCCTCCAAGGCTCTGGGATGCTTCCTCTTAAGTAAAGCTACTGCATGGCAGTGGAGACCAGAGGGGAGATTGTTAATTGGATTTGGTGGATGACACGCTCATGGTCCCCATTCTGAAAGTCAGATATGTAGTTATGAAGCCAATCCTCTGCTTCTGATGGAAGCTGTAATGTATAAACCCACTTTGAGGTGGGGAACCTCATGAGATTGGCCTGAACCATCCAATGAATACATTCATGAAAGAGTTTACAACTCCCTCTGTTCTCAGGAAGGCAGTTCTGGTTCAAGGAATCAGAAGCACCTCTTGTGATGGGATTCTGGGGTGGGGTCAAGTGCTGGGAACCAGCGGATTGCCTGTTTTGAGAGCGGCATACCCCTCTCATCTGCCTATGTCGCTTACTGCTGTCCCTCTCTTTGGGGAAAGGGGACAGTGCCAGGACTGAGTTAGTTTAGCTTCCTCCTCCCAAAAATCCTCTCTAACCAGCCTTTCTCATACCCTCAGGAAGAAAATATCATGAATCTCTACAATCGGCCCAAAGGAGAGAAGTGCTTCCTCTTTTACCGCAATTATGAAAGCTCCACCGTTGTCTTTCAGTCTGTCTCCTACCCTGGCTGGTTCATTGCAACCTCCTCTGAGGCAGGGCAGCCCATTACCCTCACCAAGGAGAGGGGCACAGCCAAAAGCACGAATTACTACTTAGAGGATGGACGCTAAATCCAGGCTGGGCTCTGGGTGGCTGAATCCAATTCAGAGAATCAAGCAGTCAGAGGTTCTTCTGTTTGAAAACACAACAGGTCATCTTAAGAGACCACTGTATGTGCATGCCCATCCATAGCCTATCTCATTCTCATCACCTCAAAACCACCTCCTCTTCTAGATATCCTCTAGATTTGTTGCTGTTGTTTAGTCACTATGTTGTGTCTGACTCTTTTGTGACCCTATGGACTATAGCCTGCCAGGCTCCTCTGTCCATGGGATTTCCCAGGCAAAATATTGGAGTGGGTTGCCATTTCCTTCTCCAGGGGATCTTCCTGACCCAGGGATCAAATCCACATATCCCGCATTGGCCGACAGATTCACTGAACCACCAGGGAAGCCCACCCTCTAGATAATCTCTAGATGATTTCTAGATACACTGTGTCCCCCACTTGCACGTCATTCCAGTGTGAAACCTAAGAGTCACTTTTTATTCTTTCTTGATCTTATCCCATCATCCTAGTTGCCAAGTCCATTTAAGTCCACTCCCAAATCCTTCTTGCAAACTCTCTTGCTATTCCTTCTGCCAACCCATAGCCTGGAAATGTGACTTCCAAACATATAACCCTATGAATAAAAGATATTAATAATTCTATGCATGCTTATTATAAATATTGTAACATGCACTGCAAAAGATGAATCTAAAGGGTAAGGTGAATGTAAAATAAAAAATCACAAGTCTTGATAATCATTAGTTAATTTGACACACAATATACAATTTGGTTAAGATTAATTGTTAACCATAGTGGATATAATCAATCTGTATTTCAAAGAATCACTAATAGCAGTTTACATTTTTCTGAAGCATCAGCTATGACATTTTCTTGTTATTATTCCTGTTTCCTAGACTTTTAGGGGGACATTCAATCACCAGTTTCTTTATTCTGATGCTTTTAAACTAGTTGTCCATTTTGTGAGGAATACATTAGTTAAAGCTTGTAGTATAATTTATGAATTCACTCAACCAGAGACACGTAAATTGCAGGTTTTATAATGCCCTGAATATGAATGTGAGCATATAAGGTTTTCTTCCAGCAGGAAACCTTGCCCTTCTTGGTATATGATGAACAGGCTTATTGGGCTTTTCAATGACTGGGAACCCTTCACCAATGGGGGAGAACGGGTAGGGAAATTTCAGCTCTGTAGTCCACATGATTCCTCAGAGGGTTCAAGCAGGATTGAGTCACAGTCACCCACGGGAGTGTTGAGCTCAGGAACACCTCCTTGCATTGGTTTCCTTCATTTCCCTGCTTCAGGTTCTCTAGCTACCATTCTTATTCCTTCAGATCATTTCTCATCATTCCAAGATAGACAGATGGAGAAAGAGAGGAGGGACAAGATGGTAGAGTAGAAGGACCTTGAGCTCACATCCTCTCATGACAGATGGAAAGAGCTCTATCAGTTTTACTTCCCTTATTTCAGCCTCTGAAACACTGGTTTCTATGACTTTTTCCTCCAGCCTTCAAGATACTCTAATATTCAAAATGTTGATGTTATTGTTGTACTTTTATTCTTTTTTTAAATTTTGTCTTCTATTTACTTGAACATAGGCATTAAAAATAATTTTATTTATTTTTGTCTGCAATGGGTCTTCATTGTTGCATCTGCTTTTTCTCTAATAGTGGGGAGGGGGTTTTACTCTTTGTTGCTACATGGAGGCTTCTCCTTGCGGTGGCTCCTCTTGGTGTGGAGCACAGGCTCTAGGGCACTTGGGCTTCAGTAGTTGCAGCTCTCAGGCTCTAGAGCACAGGCTCGATAATTTTGGTTCACTGGCTTAGTTGCTTCGCAGCACGTGGGATCTTCCCCGACCAGGGATTGAAACTGTGTCTCCTGCATTGACAGGCAGATTCTTATCCACTGAGCCACCAGGGAAACCTGTGACTAGATGATCTTACTTGTTATAAATTTAAATTCCAAATGTATAATGGTGATTTGATCTGGCCCAGAGCTCTTGTTGGAACTCCAGATTTGCACTTACCACTACCAGCTTGGATATTGCAAATTAAGCATGTCCTAAGTAGCACTCATGATCCTTGCCCAATATGCCTATTCCCACACTCAGTCTTTTCCATCTCAGTTACTTAAGATAGAAACCTGGGAGTCATCCTTGATTTTCCTCTCTCTAGAGACCTGCATCCTACCCATCAAGTCTATTCACCAAGAATCCTACCTTCAAAGTACATCTCAAATCCACCCATCCCTCTCCACCTTCTCTGCCATCCACCACTGGATATCTGGAAACCACCGTAACTCACCAGTCCTGTACATCTGCCTCCTGACTGGTGACCTCCATCTACCACTCCATCTATCTGTTAAATCAGTTCTCTGTGAGCCAGCAAGGATTATCTCAATAAATGGAAATTCAACTATGTCATTCCAATGTTTAGACTTCTTTGATGTTTCCACTTGCAGTTAGAATGAAATGCAAATTCATTTATAAAATTTGCTTATTGTTAAATTTTTTTAATTGGTGGAAAATTGCTTTACAATGTTGTGTTGGTTTCTGCCATGGAACAACTCAATCAGTCATATTTAGACTGATAGATAGATAGATAGATAGATAGATAGGTAGATAGATAGGCTTTCCTGATGGCTCAGTGGTAAAGAATCTGTCTGCAATTCAGGAGACTCCAGTTCCATCCCTGGATTGGGAAGATCCTCTGGAGGAGGGCATGGCAACCTATTCTACCACTCTTTCCTAGAGCATCCCATGGACAGAGGAGCCTGGCAGACTGAAGTCCATAGGGTCGCACAGAATCAGACATGACTGAAGCAACTAAGCAGCATATATATATGTATACACCCACACCCACACCCACACACACTCTCCCCTTTGAGCCTCAACCCCCGCCCCACCTCCATCCCACTCCTCTAGGTCATTCCAGAGCACCAGGCTGGGCTCCCTGAGTTATACAGAGACTTTTGACTACCTATTTTACACATGACCTACATCCAACCCATATATACACTTTATTATGTGTATATATGTTAATGCTACTTTCTCAGTTCATCCCACCCTCATCTTCCCCCACCGTGTCCACAAGTCCCTTCTCTGCTAGGTTCATCAGTATCATTTTTTTGGATTCCATATATATGTGCTAATATACAATGCTTGCTTTTCTCTTTCTGACTTCACTCTGTGTAAGAGGCTCTAGGTTCATCCACCTCACTACAACTGACTCAAATTTGTTCCTTTGTATGGCTGAATAATATTCCATTTTTATATTTATCCGTTAATCTGTTGATGGACAACTAGGTTGCTTCCATGTCCTGGCTGTTGTAAATATTGCTGCAATGAACATTGGTGTACAAGTGTCTTGTAGAATTGTGGTTTTCTCAGGGCATGCGACCCATAGTGGGATTGCTGGGTCATGTGTTTGTAAGTGCTATGTCAATTCAGTCATGTTTGACTCTTTGAGACCCTATGCGCTGCAGCCCATCTGGCTCCTCTGTCCATGGGATTTCCCAGGCAAGAATACTGGAGTGGTTTACTGTGCCCTCCTCCAGGGGACGTTCTCAACCCAGGGATTGAACCCATGTCTCTTATGTCTATGTGCATTTATGTCTAGTGTCTTTACCACTACCCCAACCTGGGAAGCCCTTGCTGGTCATATGGTAGATATATAGTTTTTTGAGGTATCTCCATACAGTTCTCCGAAGTGGCTGTATCAGTTTCCTTTTCTCAACATTCTCTCCAGTATTTATCATTTGTAGATTTTTTTGATGATGGCCATTCTGATTGGTGTGAGGTGATACCTCATTGTAGTTTGAATTTTCATGAAATGCAAATTCTTTACCATAGTTTACAGGTTTGACTGGATGGTCTGGCCCCTGATGGCCCAACACTACTTTCAGATCAATCTCTCCATTGCCATCTTTGGTCATGCTAATCTTTCAGTTCTTTGAATATGCTGAGTCATTTATAGCCCCTGGACCTTTGCATATGCTATGCTCATGTACATCCCTGTTACCTGTATCAGTTTATTCTCTCTCTTTGCCTTTCTGGCTCCTTCAAGTTATCTCCTTATATTTCACCTCCTCAAGAGGCCTTCCCTAACCACCATGTCTGAAGAAAGCTGCTTCTTCTACCTCCTGAAATTTCCTTTCTCCTGTTTTTTTTTTTTCTTCACATAATTCATAATGATTTTATTTGCCTTTGTCTTTTTCTTTCCTTCCCTCTTTGCAGGATAAAATCCTTGATTGGTGGAAAGTAGTATTTGTCTAGTTCACCATTATACCCCCAGCTCTTAGCACCATGTCTGTGTCAAATAAATATATGTTGAACAAATTAATTATTAATTAATTGCTAAGTGAATGAACAAATAAGGAGCCAACTTTCTCCGCAGGCAGTCCACCCTCCCCAGAAAAACTAGTCTCATCTGGAATAAAACCCACCTTCCTGTTCCTAATCCTTGATGTCACAGAGAAGAGAGGTCTCATGTCTACACAAGTGCTTCCACTTTGTGAAGGCGGCTTGCATGGCCCTCTGTGATCTCCATTTGTTAACAAGGCTGTTGCCCCAGAATCATATCTCTGCCTCTCCCTCAAATGGAAATCAACTGCATGTAAGTGATATACAGTATTTATTTTTGTCTGACTTATTTCACTTAGCATAATACCCTCCAAATTCACTGATGTTGCTACAAATGGCAAAATTTCATTTTTTATTGTTGAGTAGTATTTCATTATATGCATACATACATACACACACACACACATATTCCACAACTTCTTTATCCATTCATCTTTTGATGGACATTTATGTTGTTTCCATGTTTTAGCTACTGTAAATAATGATGCTATGAATAATGGGATGCACATACCCTTTTCAATTAGTGTTTTTGTCTTTTTAATGGCTATGTATTCAGGAGCAGAACTGCTGGAATTTGCAGTCCTATTTTTAGTTTTCTGAGGAAATTCCATACTGTTTTCTGCAGTGGCTCAAGAAGTCACATTTCTGATAGTTTATGGTTTAAAAAGTAAAAAAGTGGGAGTCACTCGAGAAGGGGGATGTTGTGCCATGTTCTAGTTGCTGTGCATTTTGTGTTAATGCCCAGCTGGCTTTGTCTGTGTCCTGTTATCCCAGCCTGGTGAGTGATTGGTCTATTTAACTCTCTTAAATGGATCAGTAGTAAAGAATCTGCCTGCAATGCAGGACATGTGAGTTTGATCCCTGGGTCAGGGAGACCCCCCCTGGAGAAGGAAATGGCAACCCACTCCAATATTCTTGCCTGGGAAATACCATGGACAGAGGAGCCTGGTGGGCTCCAGTCCATGGGGTCACAAAGAGTATCTTCTTGCTAGAGGTCCTCTTTTTATTCCTGTAGGGAAGGATGGAATATAGGACAACCTATGAGGCCTAGGAGAGCACTGACTCATGGAAAGTCAACTCGACAGCAGTGTATGGGGGTTGGGATCTCAGAGCCTGTGAGGCTAGGGAAGGACCCCAAGCCCTTCCCAATACACCATCTGCTTTGAACCTTGGCTGCAAGGGCTGGAGAGACTGTTCTGAGGTGGGCCAGGAGGTGAGCATCACAAAAAGTGAACAAGTCCACCTGCTTAGAATTTCCTGGTTTCTGGCTCCGGGTCAGCATTCCCTCCCTGCCCCACACTGGGACAGCAGGGAACAAGTAGGGGGAACTGTCTAGTCCTCTCTTAGAGATCAGTGTCTCCAAACCTGTCTGCTCCCTGAGGGTCCAAGGCAAGTTCAGAGTCAAAGTCCTTCAATGTTCTCTTTATTAGTCTCCAGTCCTGCCTCTGCCCCGCCTTGCTGTGAGGGGCATGGTCCCACCGAGACGTGTATGGCCAAGTCCCCCTGCTGTCCACCTGAAACTATTACAACATTGTTAGTGGGTTATGCTCCAATGTAAAATAAAAATAAATAACTAAAAGGAAAGAAAAAGAAAATGCTGGCATCTTCTACCTTCATTAATCTCTAGAAAACCTTACATTTTGCAGGACTTGGGAATTGGGAAAGGGGCTTTGGAAAAAGACATGAGCCAGAACTTCAGTCTTGGAGGACATGTATCTCTCTTCTGCATCTTGATGGAGGGATGTTGAGTCCATCACCATGGACTAGGATGCCAACAGGTGGCCTGCCCAGGGCTCTGAGGAGCTGGGGACCTATCAGGTTGGGATGCTTTTCCCCTGAACCCCTTCATCCTCCTTGCAGGGAGCTCCCAACTTCAAATGGTTCAAGTTCTGGGCCCCTGACTCAGGGCAGTCCCACAAGATATTTCTGTCATTTAATGTCTTTATTTTCACCATTCAGGGGATTTCTCCTGCTTTTTTTCCTTGAGCAGATAATTGGAAAAGATATATGCATCCCGATCGGAGAAGGCAGTGGCACCCCACTCCAGTACTCTTGCCTGGAGAATCCCATGGATGAAGGAGCTGGGTAGGCTGTAGTCGATGGAGTCGCTAAGAGTCAGACAGGACTGAGAGACTTCCCTTTCATTTTTCACTTTCATGCATTGGAGAAGGAAATGGCAACCCACTCCAGTGTTCTTGCCTGGAGAATCCCAGGGATGGGGGAGCCTGATGGGCTTCTGTCTATGGAGTCACACAGAGTTAGACATGACTGAAGTGACTTAGCAGCAGCAGCATATGCATCCCGATATTCATAGCATCATTATTTACAGTAGCCAAAACATGGAAACGGAAACAACATAAGTGTCTGTCAAAAGGTGAATGGATAAAGAAGTTGTGGAATATGTGTGTGTGTGTGTGTGTGTGTGTGTGTGTGTGTGTAAAATGGAATACTGCTCAACAGTAAGACTGCCCAACGAGCAGCAGCTGTCCTGTCCCTTTGATTCCTGCACAGGCTAAGTCCCTCATTAGCACCCACCACACACCGAAAACACAACAGTGATCGTGGGATCTGGTGGCAGCAGCTTCACAGCACAGCTGTGCTTGGGGGCCCAGACACGAGTGTGAATCAGGGTCTCTGTGGTCTCATGGGCATGGCAGTCTGTCTTACGGATTCTGCTCTCTGAGCGAATCAGAACTGGCTTCTGGGCTTTTAGCTAGAGAAGCATGTGGAGGCTTCTCTCCTTAGAAAGCTGCTTGCTGGTGAGGCTCTGGGTAGGGAGATGACAGCCATGGCATAGCTCAGACTCCTCAGAGCTGCTTGAGGGAAAAAAGCAGGAGAAATCCCCTGAATGGTGAAAATAAAGACATTAAACGACAGAAATAACTTGTGGGACTGCCTTGAGTCAGGGGCCCATGATCTCGTCCCATTTGAAATTGGGAGCTCCCTGCAGGAGGGATGAAGGGGTTCAGGGGGAAAGCATTCCAACCTGACAGGTTCCCCAGCTCCTCAG